AGTATTCGATCTATTTAATTTATACGGTATACTACATTCCTGGGCTTTGGTTAGAATATTTTTAAATAGGTTATATTTCGAGTCCACATCGAGAACCCCTTTTACGTCACCTATCGCTGGGTTCACGTCCAGCTCCAAGACCAGCCCACACCCCGTACCCAAGACTTTCCAATCTGTTTGACCCAATAAATTTCTTAGGTTATTGAAATTAGCTTTTCAAAAATCAGGAACTTTAACAAAATTTTCTTTTACAGATCTATTCCATTCTATGCTAAATCTGATTTCTTTATGATCACTGTTCCCTAGATCATTCTCTATTTCGATGTCCTTAATTTGTGTTTCCCTGTTTGTTAACACTAAATCTAAAATATTATTTTCCCGCGTTGGTTCCTTAATGTGTTGCGTAAGAAAGCAATCATCAATTAATTCTATAAAATCTTCTGCGTCATTATTCCCTGTTTTGTTCAACCAGTTTATTCCACTAAAATTAGTCACCCATGACATAAATACTCTTAGATCTAGATATTTCATCCCATAGATGCTTTGCTTCCATTCTGTCTAAATTTGGTGGCCTATATATAACTCCTATTATAATATTATTTGCTTTTTTGTTTAATTCTATCCAAATAGTTTCTGTGTGTGGCTCAGATTTGATTCCCTCTTTGAGATTACATTTCAAATTGTCCCTAACGTATATGGCTACTCCCCCTTCTCGTCTAATATATATATCTGTGTGAAATAGTTTAAATCCATTTATTTGATATTCAGCTAATAGTTCTCTATTTTCTACATTCATCCACGTTTCTGTAAGCTCGATAATATATTTTTGTCTGTTCAGATAAGAGCATTCAATTCGTTTATTTTATTTCTTAGACTTCTTCTGTTAGTGTAATATACCCTAAGTGAATTGTTATTTTGAGGCCCATGAATTTCCCTGATCATTTTGCCAATTCCTTTCTCCCCTAAACACATACTTTTATTTTCCTTCCTCCAAATCAATTCCCATACCACTATCTACAAACAGTTTAAAACCAAACAAACACCTCTAACCACTGGTTCTAACGAGTTCGCAACAGCAACAACCCCAGCCCTCGATAGATGCACCCCATCCCAAGCATACATTTCATTTCTTCCATAGAAGTGTTCCCAGTTGTCTATGAAAGATATTGCATTAGATTTGTAATATCTTTCCAGCCTGGAATTAACGTTAAGTGCCCTCAACATCCATTCATTTCCCACTCCCTTTCCTGGAAGAATGCCACATATGATCGGGATTCCTCCCTTGTTCCAAACTAATTCTATTGCTGTCTTGAATCTCTGTATTAGTTCCTCACTCCTTACTCGCCAACATCATTACCCCTTACACTAATACAAATAATGGGTTTGTTCCAATTTCCTGTCATAATATCTTTCATGTTTCCAACAATATCACCAATACCAGCTCCCGGATAGCAAACCCTTAACCTGTTCCCCTTATCTCTGGCACAAAACGTTCTGTCTAAATACCTCACCTGGGAATCTCCCATAACCAAAATTCGCTTTGTTCCTCCTTTTTCCCTTATGGCACTTTGAGGAACCTGCGCTTCAATGATCCTCGTTGCTTTGTCTTTGCCTCCTCGTTGAACTACAGGTTCACCACAGCACTCGTCCTCTAACACATCAAATGCGTTAGAAGTCCTTAGGCTATTACTGTCGGTTTTGCCAAGGTCTTCTTAGGACCCCTGTCCTTTACAATTTGCCAAGACGAGGTCTTTTTAATGCTGGTCGCCTCCTTTGTTTCTTCCTGATGTTGTTTCAGCTGTCGTACCTCCTTCCGTAGCGAATCCAGCTCTGTCCTCAGAGCTCCAACTAGATTCACCAGTTCCTTCACTTATCCTTCTATTATTGGTATAATAATATTACTACAATCGGAGCTCCAGCTAACACAACCTCTCATTGTGACAGCACCTCACTGACTGGAACGTGTGTCGTGGGAAGCAGCTACGGGGAAGGACTATCGCTACATACGTCTTCCGCAAATTTCATTGTGTCCCCCACTAACTCTGCCTATTACCTTTAATTACATGACTCCTGACTTTTTTTACATGACTGTGACTTCTCCACAAAATGTTTATTTAAATCCCCTTTGGGTGCAGTATACCTCTTAATATTTGGTTTAACATAAGAAATGGTCGTCTGACTGGTCATGATAATTTTTAAATTACTTTTTTATTAAAATATTAAAGAAAATTCTAAAATTTAAATAACTTAAATTTGCCTCCCCCCTGCAACAACAAATACATTTACCCTCAATAGTGACATTTACCATAAATAGTGAGGTTACTGTGGCTGGCGTGCCTTATGTTACCTCCTGGTTCTTTGTGTGTTCACTGATTGAGTAACAAAATTCTACACCAGTTGTAACTGTACTTTGTATAAATACTATTTTACTGCCTGTTGTCTAGTGTTGAGTGTAAAAAATAGCAAAGAATTGGTTTCCAAGTTAAATAGCTGAGCAATCCAAGAAGAGAAGTTTTCCGGATTTGTTGTGTACATTGGTTTTCATTTGATACATATTTAGTGTATATGTCTCATTGAATATGACCGCATATTCTGTATTTACTATTTTCTGGTTTAGGGCTTCTATCCCTCTAACTATTTTCTTAGCATCAGGGCTTAGCTGAAATAGGAGTTCTCCAAAACTTATTTTCGTAATTTTAAGGTGAAGAAAAGAAGTGAATTACAATAGAATGTATTACACTTATTTATACAATTTGCACAACGCTTCGAACCTCCATGGTTCATTCTCAAGTGAAAGGAATTTTCAGGTTTGGTTGATTTTATACCCGCACTGGGTCAGGTGATAAGACAATAAAGGTGAAAACATGGGGGAATACATAAGAATAAGAATGCGGAAGGCCTATTGGCCCATACGAGGCAGCTGCTATCTACATACAATGATTAGTCAAGTGTAATTGTCCTGTTATGTTGAACGGTGTCTTCTGTGTTGGCATCGTTATGTTCTATTTAGTGTATAGAGTATATTCTTTCCCAGTGTGGAGTTTCTTCCCTGAGTAATATTCCTCCCTAATTCCTCCTCTGGCTAAAATTCATTTCCTTAGATTTGAAATTTCTCCCATGGAAAGCAAGTGCCTTTACACACAGAGATCACACTAACGTGATGCATCAAATGAACAAATCCACAAGGGCAGTGACGAGGATTCGAACCTGCGTATGGGAGTAAGCTCAGTCTGACAGTAAGCTAGCTCAGTCCATTAAGGCAGTGTCTGGGATGCTCCCAGATGCAGGTTCGAATCCTCGTCACTGCAATTGTGGATTTGTTCAAGTGCCTTTCTTTACAGCTGAATATAAATATATTTTTTTTTAATTTACACATTATATACACATCTCACTTGCAGTTCTCGTGGTAGGAAGCCTTCTATTGATAGTTTAGTCATAAAAAGCGGTAAATACCAAAGTTCAAAAGAACTTTGTTGTTGCTTTGTTCAACACCTGTTGAACAAGCTCTTGTTCAACAGGTGCTTGTTCATGTTCACATTTGGTGACGCAGAAGTGCCACATATATTATCAAGTTTTTCACAGCATAATATTCAAGGATTATTACATAAAATTGGCAGCTATGTACTTTTTAGACATTCTTTTATTGATATAATCTGTACACTACAGCATTTCTCTCCAGCTACTATGACAGGTGACGTTTTTCACACTTCTCCAGGCAGGGGATGGCAGTTAAAGAAAAACATTTAAAACGTGGACAAATGAAAATTAAAATAGAATTTAAAATGCAGTTTCCATTTCCTATAGATGTCTTTCTTCCTCGCCCTGATTGCCCCTCCATAAAGGGACGGGGTGAGAGGGGCGGGAGTGAAACACAATAAATGTTTACATGTAGCACCTAATAGACAGAGTTGCATAAAAAAATTATGAAATATTAAACTTTTCAAAAGTTTTTTCTATCAGAAATGATAATATACAGTGATAATTTTAATTTAAATATGTATGGATGGTATTTTTATGATTTGAGTCAAAGTTAAATTATAAGCTAATCCTAAATATGCTGAACATTTCTCAATACCGCCTAACCCACGTAAAATATTTCTAAGCTAAAAACAAGATGTCAAAATATTAATAAACAGCTTTGAAAGACATTTCTTGAAATGCCAAGCAAAGTCGCTGTCTATGTGAGGTCTTGCTTACTAGGCCACATATTGCTGTTATGGCGGCTAGTTATGATATAAATAGGTAGATAGATATATAGATGGATTGATAGATTCATAGATAGATAGATACATTCATAGATACATACATACATACGTACATACTAACATACATACATGTGTGTAAGTCACGAAAATTAACACGTGATGAAAAATGTGAATGTCAGACCACGGAGGAAGAATTGAATTTCCTTAAATTTTGTTCCTGTTTCAGTTCTTCCTCCGTGGTCTGACACTGTCACAAACATACATAAATGGATTGATAGATATAGAACATGTCAAATTACCTAACATTTTGTCAAAATATGTTATATGCCCCATGTAACATAATAAAATTAGAACTTCAATACAGAAATGGCGGAAACGTATGGGGACTAAATAGTGCAAAAAAGGTGGCTAGTGAATGGGGCGAAAATGGTTACCTTGAGGTGTTTCCGGGACTTAGCGTCCCCGCGGCTAAATCGTCGACCAGGCCTCTTAAAGAGGGTGAGGCTAACGAGTGAATGAGGCAAGAAGACTGGTGAGTGAATGGGGCGAGAAGGGTGGTGAGTGAATGGGGCGAGAAGGGTGGTGAGTGAATGGGGCAAGAAGGGTGGTGAGTGAATGGGGGCAAGAAGGGTGGTGAGTGAATGGAGGCAAGAAGGGTGGTGAGTGAATGGGGTGGGAATGTTGGTGAGTGAATGGGGCGAGAAGGGTGGTGAGTGAATTGGGTGGGAATGTTGGTGAATGAATGGGGTGTGAATTGTGGTGGCATTTACAATAAACAATTACACACCAGGTATCTTGTGTACTCAAATCATAACTTTTTTTAACGTTTAACATTTCTTAGATGGTTTTAAGTGCTTCTTTCTCACAATCTTCCTCTTCCTCTCTTCTTCTTCTCGTCGAATATCCTCAAGATCTTCTTTAAGTCCAATTTTGGCAGATATTCTCTCTTCTTTTTGCACCTGAGAGAAAGATGCCTCCATATCACCGCAGTCATCAACTTCATCCCTGAAAAACACATTATATAAGTCACATCTCCAAACAATTATTCTTAAGTATGCAGCTGAAATCTCTTGACCCCTTAAGGATTCGAACAATTTACAAGAGGTCATCATTCATACCGAATCTAAATCTTTACTTCGGGCATTGTTATCCAGCCAGCACAAAGATAATATAAAACTCATCACTGAAATCTTACAATAGGAAAAGAAGCACACAATCTAGGGCTGTTAGTCACCCTAAATTATATACCAAATTACATTGGCATAGTTGATTATGTAAAAGGCAGACTCACTAGTAAAAACTGCTACTGCTTTAACTGTTGTACAGGTAAAAATACCTCTAAGTTTCTCATAGATTAAAGAGCAAATCAAAAAGAAAGAACTCCCAAATATCAAAAGTCGCCACAGAGCCAAAGTAGCGAAAAGCGGACACATTTCAATGTGGTACTAACATGCCACGGGGTACTACTTCTTCAAACCTGGTAAAAAGCTATCCAGAGAAATTGCATTAGCCATACAGACTTAGACTTGTCTATAAGTGCTGCTGGAAGGTAACAAACCCAATAGTTAGAGGGTGTCATATCTGTGGAAAAGATGCAGAAATGCTACTTTTACATTACTTATTAGAATGTGAAGCAACTCAAGCACTGCGCATCAAACTCAACATTCAACCAACTTGAGCAGCTGCATTAAATGCAAAATTCACATTTAATGCGACTTCAATGGTTAAAAAAAATTGAAGAATGGGACACACTAGTGAACACTGTGCATCTATATCCACTGCCAAGATAATGTACAAATCACATAATGTACCAAGATAATGTTGTTAAAACAAAAGACTAAAACCAGTGCGAAAAGAAGAAAACTATACCTTCATATGAAACTTTGACCCAAATATCAATGTAACAAAATTACTGTCAATAACCGAACTCAATTAGGGCTCACTTCAACCCGTGCTACATGTACATTTCGTTCCAAGTAGTTAAACCTAAAACAAAACAGCTCTAGATGACATAGTTAAGAATGCATATAGAAATATGTGCGTAAATGATAACTAATAGACTCACTAAATGTACAGTAGGTTAGCTTCATATTACGATAGATGGAAACTGAAAATCCTAATTCAATAAATCTTTAAATTAAACAAAGAGAAAATAAGTATGGCAGATTCCTTTTTTACAACACTCGTGTCTCTTTCTGATCAGTGTCAGTTATCTGCGATTTATGCAATTTTATGAGAGGCAATTGTCACGGAGAAAACACTAGGAAGAGAAAGTTAAGTTAAAAAGTTCAAAATTCTACACACACTACAGTATTTTTGTAAAATTAATACACTATTATATAAGACAAAGAAGAGATATGGGAAAAAATTGTATAAATTTTTAATCAAAGAAAAAGATTTGTCGAAACTATTAAACAAGAGAAAGTGGTGAAAGAATCCTCATGAACAAACTTGCAACAGAATTTACGAGGAATTGTGTTTAAGCATGTGTTTACATCTGTAGCATCGAGAACAAGAGGCAATAATTTCAAGCATTCAAACAAATACGCAATACAGTATATGCATAAATGTCTGTTAAATAAGAAAGTAGTGTATGTTTAAAACATCTGGAATATCAAATCAACGTATAATAAGATTATAGATAAGGCAGGAAACCAGTACTGTGGCTCCCATCCTGTGACCATTTAGTTAACGCATTCGCACATATGTACACAAAAGGAAAAATACTCAAACAAAATACAATACTCACCGATACTTTCTCTTATCATAGCCAAATAGGTTTCTGATTTCCCTCGAGAAATCTATCCCTTGATCTCCATCGTCAATGAAATCATCCATATCAGAGTCTTCCTCCTCTTCTGAATCACTGGCAATGCGCAGTTTGGGATGTGGAATCTTCTGTGGTCTTAATGGTTTCATGTCTTTTGTTTGCATATATCTAGGCTTCTGAGGCTTCATATCTTTACCAATAGAAGTTTGAGGTTCTGAAGGCGCTGGTCTGGAATTTTGCACAGGTTTGATTCCTTTGATTTGAGGATGATCCCGAGGCCAATGTCCCGCAGTTGCAAATAACTTCATTCTGTCCGCTACTTTAGATTCTTGTTTGGGCTCCTCGAGAGCTTGGTTTAATTTGGCAGTATTTTCTTGTTTCTTTATAATCTCACCCTTCTTACTCAGTTTTGGTGAATCTTTTACATCAGCCTTTTGTTCCTTTTTCTGGGGCTTTTCAACTCCGGTTTTGTCTTGTGGCAATTTTCCCAACCATTTTAGCTTACGTCTTCTCTCGTCTTCCAGCTTTAGTTTCTCTATGGCAGTCAGAGGCCGACCAAAGTATTTCTGTGATATGCCTTTGTCTTTCTCTTTTTTTCCATCCTTCAAGTTTGCAAGAGGCAGTGACTGCTTCTTGCGAGCAATTACAAGAAGCTCTTTAAAACTCACTGGTGGTGGTGCGTCCGGTCTAGGCGTCACCTTGAGCTTTTTTGGGTTCTTATCATAACCCTTGTTTTCCCTCTCTCTACTGTATTTACGTTTTAATTTTCCAGAAGTTGATTTATCTTCCAGTTGAGTCTTCACTGTGTTGGTAACTCCGCTCTGTAATAACATACAGTAATATTATTATTATAAAAAAACATAATAAAATACCAATATTTTTATGTTTGTAAAAAGAAAATATGGAATCAAAATGTCTCAGCCCAACCTGTCCTCCTACCTAACTCGCAAGCGCCACAGACATGTCTGACCTGTGTCACTTACAGACACATGTTTGACCTGTGTCACTTACAGACACCTGATTGACCTGTGTTACTTACAGACACCTGATTGACCTGTGTTACTTATAGACACATGTCTGATATGTGACATTTACAGACACATGTCTGACCTGTACAAGGATATAGCGGAGTATAATAAGACAACTGAACTCCTTCATAATACTCATAGAAAACGAGATTTCACTCACCTTGATATCTGCTGCACTGCAATTAGCATTGTTTGCATATTGATTAACCAGCTTGCTGAAAATGTGCTGATTATTAGTAGATTCATATCCAAAATCATTCATGTCATACTGCTCCTCTCCTTTGACAGTCGTTATGTTCTGCAACGACAATACAGCGATCATTACATCTTGCAATACAATACAACAAGAGCAGCAATATCAAATAATTGAATCAGAACATTTTTATTGTGAATTGACTCGCATTCGTCAATAGGCATTCTACAGTTCCCTAATTCCTATGTTACTATGTTCTCTGGGGACATGTTTGATGTCCCAGAGACCCTTTCTCGTCTGTGGCTGGATGGGACACCCAGCTGGTATAGGGACTCCCCACTGAGGCTGTATGGGTCACGCAGCTGGTATAGGGACTCCCCACTGAGGCTGTATGGGTCACGTAGCTGGTATAGGGACTCCCCACTGTGGCTGCATAGGACACGCAGCTGGTATAGGGACTCCCCACTGTGGCTGCATGGGTCACGCAGCTGGTATAGGGACTCCCCACTGTGGCTGTATGGGACACGCAGCTGGTATAGGGACTCCCCACTGTGGCTGTATGGGACACACAGCTGGTATAGGGACTCCCCACTTTGCTGGATGGGACACCCAGCTGTTATAGGGACTCCCCACTTTGCTGGATGGGACACCAAGCTGGTATAGGGACTCCCCACTTTGCTGGATGGGACACCCAGCTGGTATAGGGACTCCGCACTGTGGCTGCATGGGACACGCAGCTGGTATAGAGAATTCTTATCATTAATTCAAACTAAACTGATTTACTTTAAAATATTTTTTAACATTGAAATTTTTTATTAAATTATCTATACAACTGATATTGCAATTTAACTTCGATTTATCATATTGGTTTGTTATTTCATTTGACAAATGTCCCTCCACAGAACACCGCCTATAGTGTTCCTATAGAAAGAACACTCGAGAAACCGTGCTTTATAATTGAAAGGAGAGTCTCGCGTCAGTACGTATTGGTCCTCAGAATACTAGAATTAAGCTGGTAATACCACTTCAATATTTGATTTAAAAAATAATAACACTAATTCAGGTATTAGAAAATGAAAACCATGAAGCTACTAAAGCAGTAGTTTCATTAATATTTCTAATAACACCAAATAATCAATATTCTCTGTGCAAGCTTACCTTAGCATCATCTACAACAAACTTGGAAGCCCCCTTGTTGATTATGGCCTTAACTTGCTTATTACACTTCCTGGCTTGTGCTCTCAGCGCCAGCAAATTCTGAAATGTCAAGTTTTCTGTGTCAAATGTTTTGAATTCAAACACTAAACAATAGGTTGTGGAGTTGTTATATTTACCAAGATTAGCATAATGGCAGCTATAACAACTTCACAACCAGCTCCATGGGAAAAACGCTCAAACATTGATGAACAAGTATTGTGAAATAAAATGTTCCATGTGACATACGTATAAAAATAAAACAATTGTTGGTTAAACAACATAATATGTTTGCGTTAAACAAATCTTTTTGAGCTGGTCCCTGTAATCCTGACCAGTGTGACTTTCTCGTCTATGATGTAGTGTTAATCTTTACTCATCTTAAATCATTAAGCGAAATACGTCGTCAAACAGATTTGAAGTTATCAATAAAAACTTCATTTGGCAATATAAATAAAATAAATAAATTTGACAATAAAAAGTTCATTTTGCAATAAAATGCCTCATTTGGCAATTCAACTCCAGATTGGAAATAAAAGGTCCCTGCCCTACATTGACAAGAAAGAATTACAGCACACATTCAACACAGCTAAAAAGTATAAAAAAAAAAAAAAAAAAAAAAACTGTTAGTATATTCGACAAAATCAGATATTATGTTCCCCACTCTGCTCTCCTCTCATTATACTACTCGCTAATCTTACATAAGGTGCATGGGGTTCACCCACTGCAAATTACATCAATCCCAACATCACTCAACAACAATCCGAATAATAACAATCTGTTTTCAAACACAAACCCTTAAAGAGTTTTAAACCTTTCTGTTTAAGTCCTTAAACATGCTAAACATACACTCACTCCACCCATTCTCTTGTGCTTTTTAAATGTACAAAGCCCTTATCCTAAATCCTTATATGAAACTCTTCATTGACAGACGTAATAGAACCCATGTGCACCTCACCAGAATTAAGTATCTCTGTGATAGCCCCAGAGTCAAACAATCTGTGTAAAAAACTTTGCAAATAAATTGTCTATGGAATTCCCTCCCTAAATAATTACAAAGCTGTCCAACCTATGATTTACTCAAAAGTAAAACCAAAAAATAGCTAATTTCAAGCTCATAGTTTCCACCCTTGTGCTTCAAATTCACACTGCATCTTGTGCTGCCGACTTCCCCAATATTAGTACTAAAGACATGCAACTTCATCACTGTAATCACTGCCATCAACTTATATCGTAGTTATTATGTTCAACACAATATACATGTTTTGCTACAATGTACCTACTTATAATAATCTGTTATGTACTCTCACAAAATAAATAAATAAATGAGCAGACTCGCTACAGCTCATAACACAGCCCGGCTTCTCCAGCGTCACTAAACACATGTACTAAACTGTCCGAACCTAACCTAACTGCGGACCCACGAACAGAAAACGGGACATCACGTCAATTATGTGAGCCGCGGCGATATTTGGTACATCAGTTTTTGACCTTTAGAGATTTATAAGTCAAAATGCAATGTAGTACTGGAGAGGCCAGGTTGTATAACAGGCAGAGAAGATATGGTTTTGCTCTTGACAATTGGAGATCCCGGATTCGATTCCCAGGCTGAACAGAAGTGGTTGCGAAATTTTCCTTTCACTTAATGCCGCTGTTCACCTTGCAACTCCTAACCTAGGAGTTGGGCATTGCGGATTGTATGCTGGTGAAGGTCAGTAGTTTGACCTTGAGGGGACCTCAATGCAAGCCTAAAGTATACATGTAAACTTCCTTTAAAAACAAAGTATTTAAAGAACTAGCTGACACCCTCTCCCTGTCCCCCTGTCCTCCCCGTCATTCCCCCCCCCCCCTTCCCTATTCCCTCATCCTAATAATCATTTTCCACTCCCCCATCCCCTTCGTTCCCTCTTCCTCCCACCATTCCCTTCCCTGTCCCCTCGTCTTCGTCACCATCCCCCACTCTCCTTGTCCTCCCCACCATTCTAAACTGGGGAGGACAAGTAAACCACCATTCTCCCGTCCCCTCATCCTTCCCACCAATCCCCATTCCCTAGTCTGATGCGTTCCCAAATGATCTGATGTTCCCATCAGAAAAATGGGAACATCAAATGATATGATGGTATCATTATCACTGAAAAATAAGAAGAACAGTTAAGAAAACGAAATGTAAAACAATGAAAAAATAAACAAATAAATTATACTCACAAAATGAACGGTAAGATAACATCACAGCCCAATTCCAACGCAATGTCACACAAAATAATTAAATCAAAATGAATATAAATCGAAATCTATGAAAATTCAATTTATCAACGAAATCGAAAACAATGATATGGAATCGCAGTATATTTAGTATAGCATGTACTGCTTCTACGTGCAACAAATGGCACTGTTTTTCCCATAAAAACTTGTTTTTACCTTTCACAGGAGTGACATCTATATAGTAGATATATAAAAATACGTCCATATTCGAATGGAACTTTGTTTCAAAATTTCAAAGCAATCGGTAAAGAGGTTTCGGAGATTTCCCTCACATGAAAAACGCAGTTTAAAAAAAACTGTTTACCTGTCACATACATGATATCTATATAGTAGGTATATAAAAACACGCTCTATGCAAATGGAACGTTGTGTCAAAATTTCAAAGCAATCGGTGAAGAAGTTTGGGAGTTTACCGATTTTGAACAAATGAACATTTTCAATTTTATTTATATAGATATTCCAATTTACTTTAAAACCTGAAAGCAATACTTGAAATAAAGAAGAGAGGCAAGTGTCGCCCTGCTCCTCCTCCTGACTAACTTTTTCCAGCACAAGAACACGGTGTAACAAGTCAACTTTGAGCTCAAATATGTAAGGTGAACACGAAGAACAATAGATAAAATTATATTATATGAACATTAGTAGGAGTAAAAGAGTTAGAGAGACCACAGCATGCCACAGGAAAAACAAGAGTAGAGGCATCATGAGGAAGCCATCAGTGCATTCAGTAATTATGTTAGGTAATCTTGAGATGATTTCGGGGCCTAGCGCTACCGCGGCCCGGTCCTTGACAAGGCCTCCTTGTTACACATCCCCAGGAAGTGTTGCTTCTTGGAAGTAACCCCAGGAAGCAGCCCGTAGCAGCTGTCTAACTCCCAGGTATCTATTTACTACTAGGTACACAGAGGCATCAGGGTGAAAGAAATTCTGCCCATTTCTTTCCACCTCCACTGGGGATCGAACCCAGAACCTTGGAACTACGAATCCCGAGAGCTGCCCAGCCCCTTACAGGAATGATAAATAGGCGCTATTTTGTCATGGAAATTAATTGTCTGCCACATTCTAACTTCAATCATAAATTTCAGATACATAAATTTTGTCTAGTACAAAAAGAGATAAAAAATCAATATATTTTATTTTTTAATAATGCCTATTTAATCGGCTTAAACAAGAACGGGGATCAAAATACGCTACAACAATAGGATTAGTATTGCCTAACTCTTTACAGCACTGGTTCATTGTTATCTGTTCAGGAAAGAAAATCACGTGAAAATTTGTGAATTTACAGCATATTAAAATCCTTAAATAAACCTACCTCTTTCTTAAGCCGAGCTTCTTCATTCTCCTTCTGCTTCAACTCTTCTTTCCTGGACAACACAGCTTGGATTGCTTCCGGTTTAGGAGCTGGTCTTTCTACCTTGTTTGGCCTGGAGGACGTTGCACGAAACCCACTGATTGCTGCCTGAAATAATATAAATGATAGTGTGCTTGGTTTCAGTAAGGACATAAAAATCAATTAAACTGGCTAATATGTGGCTCCTATTTATATCCACCAAAACTCATTCATATGTCTAACCTACGCTTGAGACAACCAACAGATCCTACGCCTACTATATTACCCGA